TCCTGGGAGGGTTGAAGGTGGAGGCTGCGTGAGACAGGTCAGCACTGTGGAGGCTCTGTGAGCGCCCTAAGTGCCAGGAGCATGCAGGATGCGGACCCAGTGAGAAGCTGGAGGGGGTACAGGGGCTGCAGAGTGTAACAGAGACACCCCCTCCCTTCAACACACACCTTGAGCAGGACTGATGGGCCAGGTTAGAGGTCAGGGGGCCTGGAAATCTGGCTGTGGAATTAACCTAGCAGCCCACAACCCTCAACTCCGGGAAACCTTCCTCCAAAATGTTGCAGACTCAGAGAGAAAAGCCACCTCCATTCTCTTCTAGGTGAGGTGCCGTAGGCCAGCGTGATCTGGGCAGCCAGATTGAGGAAGACAGGAAACATCTCAGAACCCAGACATTTCAACTAGGGCAACCAGTCTCAGAAAGGTCAGATTATCCAGAAATATTTATACAACCAGTTCTATTTAGATATGGAAACTTGACAGGTTTTCCTCTCCTTTGTTCTTTATTTCTTAAAAATAATATATTTTTATTGATTCCAGAGAGGAAGGGAAAGGGAGAGAGAGATGGAAAGACCAGCGATGAGAGAAAATCCTTGAGCAGCTGCCTCCTACATGCCCTACATTGGGGATCGAGTCCGCAACCCGGGCATGTGGCCTCACTGGGAATCGAACCATGACCTTTTAGTGTATGGGATGATGCTCCAACCAACTGAGCCACACCGGCCAGTATTTATTTTTAATTTTTAAACTGTTTTAATAACATTTTGGTGAACAATCAGGAGAAAATTGGGCTTTTGCTCTAGGACAGCGGTTCTCAACCTGTGGGTCGCGACCCCTTTGGCGGTCGAACAACCCTTTCCCAGGGGTCACCTAAGACCATCCTGCATATCAGAGATTTACATTACAATTCATAACAGTAGCAACATTAGAGTTATGAAGTAGCAACGAAAATAATTTTATGGTTGGGTCACAACATGAGGAACTGTATTTAAAGGGCCAGAAGGTTGAGAGCCACTGCTGTAGGAGAAAATAGGTGTGGGTCAGCCCCTCCTCCCATCCCTGCCTTGACAAGTCTGGCCTCAGGGCAGTGGAAAGGTAGCAAAGTAGCAGTGGCCACTGTTAGCTGAAGACTAACCAACCATTCCCCAAAGTCCCAGATGAGTCTTTCCTAACCCTAACCCCAGTAGCAATAACTGAACTTCCTGCCAACCAGGTGAGTGAGGGCACAGAGCTGGTTATCTGTTATAGGAAAATAGAGAAACATGGCATTTCATACCCACCCCTGAGTGTTGGGGAGAAAAACTCACACCCAATATTCCCATTGACTGAGCAGTAGGATGGAACTGGAGAGCTTCTTGTAGTCAAGACAAACCATAGAGCTGCTATAACTAAGGCAGGAAGAGGTCATTGGAAATTGGCTGTGCAACCTAGAGAATTAGGGGGAGCAGAATCTAATGTTAAGGCCTACCCCACTCCTGGCCACAAGGCAACTGTGAGTCTGGGTCTTTTATGTCATGGTCTTAGCTCCCAGCTAAGATCACACTGTTAAGATTGCTAATGTTTTTTGTCCTGAACAGTGTTACCAAACAGAGGTCAAAATATTCCCTCTGGTGGAGTATCACCAAGCTATTATATGGGAAGGTGGGTAATGATGGGGGCCAGGAACCCTTTGCCTTGGCTGGTGGGGGAATGGGTGTATATAAAAAAGCATCACCCTGCCCTAGCCGGTTTGGCTCCATGGATAGAGCAGCGGCCTGCAGACTGAAGAGTCCTGGGTTCAATACCAATCAAGGGCACATGCCTGCATTGCAAGCTCAATCCCCAGTAGGGGGCATGCAGGAGGCAGCCAATCAATGACTCTCTCTCATCATTGATGTTTCTACCTCCCTCTCCCTTCCTCTCTGAAATCAATAAAAATATATATTTTTTAAAAAGCACCACCCTGACCACCTTCCCTAAGTGTCTAGCTGTTGCATTGTTTCCTCTGATATTGTTTCATCCTCGTCTTCCCAATCATCATGTTAAACACCCTAAAAACCTGTTGAAAATGTGTCCCTCTTGCCCTAATCGGTTTGGTTCAGTGGATAGAGTGTCGGCCTGCAGACTGAAAGGCCCCAGGTTTGATTCCTGTCAAGGCCATGTACCTGGGTTGCGGACACATCCCCAGTAGGAGGTGTATAGGAGGCAGCTGATAGATGTTTCTCTCTCGTCTAACTCTCTATCCCTCTCCCTTCCTCTCTGTAAAAAAAAAATCAATATATTTAAAAAAAAAGAAAAGGTGTCCCTCTTGCAGAATTACTCAGGAGACAGGACTACACATCCTGCTCCCTGCACTCGGTCTTCTCTTTGAGCAAACTTGGCCCCAGCCGCTGGGAATGTGATGAATATGAGTTTATCCCTGGGAGCCAGAGTCCACGTCTAGCCCTCAGGTCGAGGACTGGCCCAGAACACAGTGCCCAAGTGGAGCTGCTGCCCCAGAGGCCCTATGTGGTCAACTCACCTGCCTAGTACACCCAGGTTACACTGGGTACCGATCTGCATTCTAGGGAGATGACTCTGGCTTGGGTATGGGACAGACTAGAGGTGAGGAGATCA